TAAGTTTAAAGTAAATTTAAAAACTTTTAAAAACTATATAAAAAGAAAACTACTAGTCACAAATGTTTTCAGCCATAATAACCCCATGTCACTCATGTGGGCCCTGGGCTACATGGCCCACCACACTGGCAAGATCAGGGACAGCTGTGGCAACTGGCATAACTACTTTGTCCAATACCCAATAATCACCAGGTACTAGCCACCTTCTTCGCTGGCCACACAGATTATTTCAAGGAGAATATTGGTATCAGCATACTTCAGCCTCCTTCAATAGCCATTACTTGGGAGAAAATATCTTGCACCACACAACCCTCCCACTCAGGACCAGATATTGTTTAAAACTAGGTACTGGGATGATTCAGGAAACTCCAAGGGGTGAAGGAGGAGAGAGGAGCAGAAGAAATCTCAGTGATAGGAGATGAGGTAGAGTGGAGGAGAGGAAGCTCGTGATGAGTGGTCTCCATTTTTTCTATTGGCAGGGCTCTCAGCTGAGAAAGTGGGAACCATGGGTGGTTGGAGGGATGAAAAGATATGGAAGTGGAGCAGGATGGTGAGAAGGAGATTGCCTCAGTAAGGACCCAGTACACAACATAAATTTGTAGTGGATCCAGTCAGCACGATTTCATGATTTCTCCAGCTTTTGTTCAGTATCACATGTGTTGGAGCCAAGGCAGCAGATAGTAGGGAGTAATCTAGAACTGAGGCATGGCAAGGCAAAATCTGAGATAGGCTAAGAAGGCAAAAGACTCTAAAGAAGTATAGGGTTGAAATGGTTCAACAAGGGGTCACAATGGGCAAGGGAAGAAAATTCAGCTAGTACAAGAGTGATGGCTTGGGAAAGAAATGAGGGGGCAAGGGTAACAAAGAGGCCAAAGAATGCAGTTTGGGGTACAAGGGAGAGGTAGAATGACAAAGGATCATATAATGAAGTTTCAGAGTTCATAAACATGGAAGTGGAGCATCTGTGGGATACGACTATCTCTGTGAGTAGCTGAGGTGGGGTGGAGAAAGTCATGGGAAATGAGTAAGTTGAGGAACTGGGAGGTAAGGGTGTTTGAGAGAGTAATGACGTGTAAGTTGAAGTCTCCTAGTATGAAGGCAGGAGTTGGGAAAAGGAGAAAGACTGTGAACCAATGAGGAAATATGGAAGTGGCCCAGAGGGTGATATATATGGATTGAGTGAACCTCAAAGGAAGAGAGGTTACTGAGTGATGAAGGAGGCGGGGAGAGAACCTGGAAGTGGCCATGGGGAGCAAGGAGTAATCCAACTCCCCTGCCTCAACCAGCTAGTGGGAGTGAGAATGATAGAAAGTGCAACCAGTGCTGGAAAGGGTGTCCAATAGGTAATGTTATTAAGGGCGAGCCAGGTCTCAGTGTCAGGAGATGGAAGGAGTGGAAAAGGAAAAGATTTTAAGATGAAAGCAGATCTGTTATCTATTGAGCATATATTGCAAAGAACACAGTGGAAGAAGGGTTGGGTATTGAAGTTAGACAAATGTGAAGTAGCTCAGGGAAGGGTTGGGTTGAGGGGTACAGGATCAGGACACACACATCTCTCCTTGAGCATGGTAATCCCTCCAAGTCCCCAACAGAATCAGGACAACCCTTATGAAGTCACTGAAGATTCCCTAGCAGCCCCCTAATGTTTGACACGCTTGCCTTTTCCACACTATGTAACATGGTCCCTGCCAAGGTCCTGCAGGTTAAAACATTTCCAGGGGCAGCTAGATGGTACAGTGCATAAAGCACCAGCCCTGAAGTCAGGAGGACCTGAGTTCAAATCCGGCCTCAGAGCAAACACTTGACACTTACTAGCTGTGTGACCTTGGGTGAAGTCACTTAACCCCAATTGCCTAAAACAAACATACAAACATTTGCAGTGCTGGCACTTGTCTGAGAAAGACTCATTCCCAAAGTTCCTCCAGAGAAAATCTTAGGCAGTTATAAAAAATCATGTGGGGCAAGGACCAAGCAGGTAGAATAGGGACTCTAAGGGATGACCTATATTTTGGCAGGGAAGAAGTACCCTTTCTACTTTGGTTCCAGGTAATAAAAATGTAATTTTACTAACGCTTTCACTGTCATTAAAGGAGAGAGCATCATTATCCTTTGCCCATCTAAGATGGTGGTGGGCATTGGGCCTCCTCTTGTCATCTCCAAAGTACCTGTATATGTGGATGGCCCTGGTTATCTGAACAGCTGCTGCCAAGGCTCCAATCTCCTGCTCAAACTTCACCAACTGATCTGCTCAGGCTTGTATGGCAGTGAAGATTCTATAGCTAGGATCCATTCCAAAAGGAATTTGTTTCCCTACTAACCTAGGAAAGAGATCAGGCTGCAGTGAAGGTGTGCAATACAACACAGGCAAGCACTGCCCAAAACACCTCAGATTCATTGCACGTTTGACTGCACGTTCAGAAACCTTTCACAGCTGCCGAATTTTTCATGACCCCATATGGGGTCTTGACCGATAGTTTAAGAAGCTTTGAGCTAAAGAAAACATTTCTGACACCCTTCCCTGCCCCCAGGTCCATCATTTCAGAATTCAAACCACCAACTATGCACCAGGTTGGGCTGAGCCCAGCACGGGGGGAGGAGGTATGCCCTCCAACAATTGCAATAGTGCCCCCCAAGTTTCCACTATATCCCCCAAACACTCCCCCTTCTTTTGGAATTCTCTATTATTGTGGAAGTCACCACCACCCTCCCAGTCACCCAGGCCTAAAATTTGGTGTCTCTTTCACCCTATACATCCAATCAATCGCCAAATTTTGTCATTTAGTCACTCTGCTGGTGCAAGCCCTCATCACCTCATGCCTCGAGTACTGGAATAGCCAGCCTTCTGGTGGATCTGCTGCCTCAAGTCTTTCAGCCCATCCTACATTCAGCCACTAAAATGATTTTCCTAAGGAGCAGGTGTAACTCCCACCTCCGCCAACTGCAGTGACTTCCCATGGCCTTCAGGGGCACACAGCAAGTTTCTGGAAAGCTTTTCCTAACATGGGCCCTTCCTTCCTTTTCCACTGCCCTCCATGCATCCTATCTTCTTCTGGTCACTGTCAATGACTATACTCTACTCTTGGACTACTCTCCCTCTTCCCTTCCAATTCTTGGTTTCTTTGGCTTCCCTTAGGACTCCCAGCAAATCCTCCCTTTGGCAGGAGGCCTTATTCTTGACAGTCCCTGAAAACTAGCCTCACCCCCTAGGAGTTCACCTTCCATCTCCTCTATACATAATGGCTTACATGCAGTTTTTCCCATTAGAATGGAAACTCCTCAAAGGCAAGGCCCATGCTTCAATCTTTCTTAGCACAGTCAGTACCTGATATATAGTAAGCATTTAACAAATGCTTGTTGACTATACAAAGCTCTCTTGATTGGATCTTAAGAGAGAATATATACCTCAAAGCCCAGAAATTAGCATCACATTCTTCATTTGAATAGTCATTTCCTAAGAAGCAATCTAGTTACCACCCAACTTCTCAACAAACCTAGCATGCATATACAGGTAAAAACTGCAGTTTCAAGGGTTAATTTTGTTCAAGAGAAAGCTAAAGTATGATCTGAAAAAGCAATGTGAGAAAAAAAAAGTTATATATAATCTCATTCCAACACCTTCTCTTCCCCAAATAAAGTGTAAGTGAAGTTCTCCTCTTTTGAAATAGCTGACTTTTTCAAAAGTTACTGAATGCTCTGGGTGAAGGAGATGTGGAAATGTCCCCTGTACCAGGCTCCAGAGAGCATGTGTGTGAGGAAGCAGCAGAGCAGGCAGAGGCAGACGGAAATGGGGGGAGGGGGGCGCGTTGTGTAAGGGCAACAGTTCTAACTGATTCATCTCTCACATGTCTGACATTATGGGGCTCTTGTGACAGCTTTCTGACCTCAGCCATGTGTCCACATTCCTGCTCTAATGCTTAATCTGAAATGCAAAAATGGGACAGCCCCAGGCAAGTGGCTGGTGTCCTGAAGGTCTCAGGAGCAAGAGTACAAATCAGACCAGCAGCAGCTCCAGGGGCTGTTTCTACCCTTCCAGGCAAGATGTACTTCAAGCTGTTCCACCAGGATTTTCCTAAAAAAGCTCTTAGTGCTGCCTTCAGTGCTCACTTCAATGGCTCTGGCAAATACTGAATAATCCTCCCAGAAACTGCTGGAGGCAACAAACATTTACTGAGAACCTACTTTGTGCCAAGTACTGTGACAAGCACTGGAAATACAAAGAAAGGCACACACAAAGACATAGATAGGTAAATTTCCATTGGAGGCAGCCTCAGAGGGAAGGTACTAGCAACTCAGGGGAAGCAGGAAGGGCTTCCAGGAGAAGGTGGGATTTTGGTAGACACTTGAAGGAAGTTAGGAGGCCGAGGCCAGGAAGGAGAGCATGCCAGGCATGGAGAACAGCCAGTGAAAAGACAAGGAGCAGAGAAATGATAGAATTTCTTGTTCAAGGAATAGCAAGGAGGCCGTGTCCCTGGGTCACAAAGTAGGCCTAAGAATGGAAAGGCAGGAAGGGGACTGGCTGGGAAGGATTTGTATCTGATCCTGGAGGCAACTGGGAGGAGTTCATTCCAAGAGCTGATCACAGTGCACATGGTCGAGCCTGTCTTGCTAGTTGGAATAAAGAATACCAGTCTCTTGTGTACCCTGACCACTGGAAAACTGCTAAGGGTAAGAGTACTAACCTCAGGCTGAGACAACTGCTAGCAATGTGCATGACTCTTGAGAATACTGACAGGAGTCCAGCATGCTAAGGCCTAGCCAATTCGAAGCCACCATGAGTGGTGGGAGAAAAAAGAGCCAAGTTCTAATCTCTGCTGCTTTCAGGGTCCCTTATATTCTGAATAATCAGGAGCTTACTATAAAAGGGAATATAATTCATCCGCAGTGAAGTCAAGCTACTGCCTAGGGCATGAGTTAGACCCTGTTATTCAGGTGTTAAGGAAAAATATTTAGAAGTGGCAGAAATTGCAAACGGAACCATTTGATGCTGAAAAAGATCTTACCAGTTGTGCAGCCAGAACACTGGAAAACTCACTGTTCATGGCATAGGGAAGGGCTGTTTGTGCTCTGGAACCGTAAGTAGTCTGAAACCTCTTCTTGATTTCATTCAGAAAACTGAAGGCTCGGGAACGTTCAAAATCCTGAAAAGACACCGACACATCTGTAAAGAGCGGGCTGCTCAGCAGCAGATGCTTCGACCTGCTTCATAGCCTAAGCAACAGCTAGCACCAAGGAGATGCTCAGCAAAGGGAAATACGGCAAAGATAACACATGTGGTCAAAAGGGTGTGGACTGGGAAGCTGGTGGTTCTCCAGGAGTGGCCTTGCCAGATACACTCTTAGCAGGTCCCTCTTATGACTGACCAGTGGAAGACCTGAGATGACTGGGCCAAACATAGGGGTATAATCTCACAGTCTGCTCAATTGCATATATATTCTTTCTTTCAATCTCCCACCTTCCTACATTAGCAAGAAGTTACTTAAAGTCTACAACCAGTTAAAAGCTAAATCCTGACTTCAAGATCTGCACATCTGAAACTCTCATCTATAACTTCCCCATTAAGAGTCATAAGGTCTTATTTTTTTTTAAAGAAAGTAAAGCAGAAAGCAATCACTGAGAATGGGGTTAAAAATGGATTCTCTAGCTGCCTTATAACTTAAGCAACCAGAAGGTGGTGATCATGTTCTAGCATCTGGAAAGTGTTCCCATATTAAAGTACTGCCTTGCCAAACTCTCCCAGCAGAGTCTAGAGCTCCAAAATATCACTTTGGCTGGTCAGCCTACTACAATTCTCATTACTGCAATCTTAGGCTTCAATCTTATCTCAGCAGAAGCTAAGAAACAGAACTGGGAGGAGAGGGAAGATTCAGAATTTGATTAATGACTGATCTGATTAAATATAAATATGGTCAATTCTCAATTATCTAGGGAAAATAGTCATCTCAAGATAGTTTTGCACAGCCACGTAACATGTTTGTATCTCCATCCCTTGGCAGAGTCTCAAAGAATAACTTGAGCAGTTAACTATAAGGAAAGGAGGCAGAGGAGAGGGAGAAAATCACAATTATTATAAAACCCTATATCCTATTAACCATATTCATTGGGGAATGGAGCCTTCTGATTACTTTAATTTTCTGGCTAACTAAGGATTAAATTAAAATCTTGATTTTGGTTTAAAAGCTCTGTTGGAAATCTTTCTAACACTTATTAGTCTACTTTCTTGCTTTAGTACAGTCTAGTGAACAGAATGGAATCTTCCTTTTGAGATTTAAGAATCCGTAGGTAGAAGAAGCCTTACCAGCCATCATTCAACTATTCTGATCCCCAGACTATACACCAAGCTGAGTTTTAAAAAAATACAGAAACCTTGATATCAGCTCATTTTGTTGCCATTTGTCTCTGAAACATCCAGAAGCACATTCAGAAGACAAATTTCCAGTCACTGAAATTGAAATCCTGAAAAAAAAACAATCACTGAATCTGGGCTAGTTGAGTTTCAATTCAGTTCAGTTTTGTAGCTAGTTTAAGTTACTCTCTATACCATGGTCCCCTACATTTATATAACAAAACACGATGTGACAGTACTAGAAAATGCAAGTGGGTTATTAACAATCTGTTTCCAAGGTACTTACATCATCTGTGATACAAAGATACACAATCCTGTCTTGGCAGATGTAGTGAAATAGATAACTGTAGAGATAAAGAAAAAATACCGGTAACATGTAAAAAAAAAAGTCTTTCTCTCTCTATGTCAGAGAATATGTAAAGCACGGACTATTTCAGAATCCCCACTGACAACACTCTTCAATGCCTCATCATGGCTTAGAGTTCTTGAAGAGCATGTAAGCAGAGGCCCTGGCAGGGCCTACCAAGGCAGAGGCTTTGAGCCTAGGCCACTTTATGTCTGCTGCCTGAAGATTCAGTGCAAATAAATCCAACTTACTCTTACTATATGGCTCTCCCTAAAATACTAAATTTGAAGTTATATATATGAAGAATTATGTACAGCCAGTTTTTCAGTGTGAAAACAGGTTAAATTTCTTCCATTTCACTCCAAACTTTTCCTGCCTTCCCTCTATATCCAAGGGATGATGCTGTGTCTCCAGCCATCACTTCTCAATCAGTTGGCGTGGATCTTCTCAATATAGTTCAAGCACAGAAATGACCTGTGACAAAATTAAGTTTGGCAAATATGTTCTAACTTAAAAATCAGTCATGGGTTACTGGCAGCTAATTCAAAAACCCATCTAAAAATCTGTTTTCTAGTGTTGTTCTAGTTGTAGCTATGAAACTCCCTTTCCCCACCCTTCCATCATTACTAAGCAAGACTCACTTTCCATGTGAATAAGTGAGTTTGTTATTTTCAGAGGGTATTTTAGCCAGAATCTGCTCGGTCACCTCCAGGAAGTTTCCGCCACACCAAGCATGTTTGGCAAGGATGGTTGTGCCTCTGGCAACAACTGCGAAAAGGATAGCCATGCTTTCAATCTAACAAAAGAAAACAGAAGTGAGACAGAATAGTTCTTTGACCAGAATTTTTTGTTATCAAAAAGCAGTTAGTGAACATCTAATTAGATGTAGCATTGTACCGCATCACTGACTTCATGATGTTCTCAGACTAAGCCATACTGACCGATACAAACCTCTAAGACAAGGAATCAGGTCAGGATAGTTCCTCTGTCTCTAAGAAGGCAGCATTTAACTCCATCAAAAGTAAAGTGCAAGCAAATTTTAGAGAGATGTAGGATTCTTGGCTCAGTAAGATGGCAGATGAAATTCAGTTTTACACTGATAGCAACAATCCAAAGTGCTTTTGTGATGCCATGAAGGCTATCTGTGGGCCAAAGACCTATGAGGCATCTCAACTACTCAATGCTGATGGAGCCACACTGATCAGTGATAAGGACATGATCCTAGACAGATGGGCTAAACACTTCCACAGTGTTCTCAACAGATCATCATCAATCAATGCTGAAGCCACTGAGTGTATATCTCAGGTTGAAGTCAATCCCTCTTCAGCGGAACTTCCAACTGAAGAAGAGGTTTTGAATGACATTCAGCTCCTCTCTTGTGGCAAAGCGCCTGGTGCTGATTCTATTCCAGCTGAGATTTACAAGGTGGTGGTGGTGGTGGGGTCCACTGCTCATATAAAAGCTATCTGAAATCATCTGGGTTATATGGCAAGAGGAGGTTATCCCTCAAGAGATTCAAGGATGCCTCCAATGAACATCTCTATAAAGGAAAAACAAATAGGTTGTCCTGTGACAATCACAGGGGGTTCTCTCTTTTAGTCATTGCTGGCAAGATTCTTGCCAGAGTCCTGCTTAATGGGATGATCTTTCACCTAGAAGATGGTCATCTACCTAAGAGCCAGTATGGCTTCAGAAAGGGCCAAGTAATAGTCGATATAGTGTCTGCTTCCTGATAACTCCAGGAGAAATGCCAGGAGCAGGACAGAGGTCTGTATACAATGCTAATCAATCTGACCAAGTCTGTAGGAGATCATGGCAAAATTTGATTGTCCTGGAGAAGTTCATCAGTATTGTATGCCAGCCCCAGGATGGCATGCTTGCATGGGTTATGGATAATAGACAATGCTCTCTTGCTTTCCCAGTCACCCATGGAATGAAGCAGGGCTGTGTGCTTGCTCCCATGCTTTTTTTAGCATGATGTTTTAAACAGTGTTGTCAGATGCCTTCAACGAAGGCAGCATCAAGATAAAAACGGCATCAAGGTCAGCTACAGAACTGATGGTAAATTATTTAACTTGGAAAGGCTATAAGCCAAGACTAAAGTTGAGGGAGAGTTGGTACGCAACTTTTTGTTCACAGATGATTGTGCACTCTGTGCATCCTCTGAGGCTGAAAAGCAACAGCATACAGATTGATTCTCTGCCACTTGTGCTAATTTTGGCCTAAAAATTAACAGGAAGAAAACAGAGGTTCTCCACCAGCCAGCATCACAAAATCCATACGTGGAACCACTGGTTACAGCAAATGGAGAAATTTTGAATGCATGGATAAGTTCACTTACCTTGGCAGTATGCTTTCCAGGGAGGTCCAGGTAAATGATAAGGTTGATGCATGCATTGCCAGAGCTAGCTCATGTTTGGGAAGCTCCGAAGGAAAGTGTAAGAAAGAAGAGGTATTAGGTTGCCTACCAAACTGAAGGTCCACAGAGGCGTTGTATTGTTTAGTCGTTTTAATCATGTCCGACTCTTTCTGACCCCATTTGGGGTTTTCTTGGAAAAGATACTGGAGTGGTTGGCCATTTCCTTCTCCAGCTCATTTTACAGATGAGGAAACTGAGGCAAACAGGGTTAAGTGACCTGCCCAAGGTCACACAGCTAGTAAGTATCTGAACTCAGGAAGATAAGTCTTCCTGATTCCAAACTAAGCACTCTCCACCTAGCAGATCTTATTGTATGCCTGTGAAACCTGCACAGTACACAAGTACCACACCAGGAAATTGGATTGCTTCCATTTGAATTGTCTTAGGAAGATCCTGAAGATCACCAGGCAGAATAAGGTACTAGACACTGAGGTCCTTTCTTGAGCTGAACTGCCAAGCATTCAAACTCTACAGCTGCGAACGCAACTTTGATGGGTGGCCACGATGTTCAAGTGTCAAACACACGCTTGCCTAAAAGACTATTTTACAGAGAACTCACACAAGGTAAGCAAGCGCTCACATGGAGGTCAGAAGAAGCGATACAAGGACACTCTCAAGGTCTCTCTGAAGAACTCTGGAACTGGTTGTGAGACATGGGAGACACTGGCACAGGATCACCCAGCATGGCGTGCCCTCATCAGAGAAGGGGCTGTGCTCTATGAGCAAAGTGGAATTGCACAAAGGAAATGAGATGCACAAATCTAGAGCATTTGGACTATCTGTGCCTGACCTGTGGTAGAGCCTTCTTAGTATTGTTCTAATCAGCCACAGCACCTTGACCCCGACAGAGTGATGTCCTTTTGGTCCTCTTCAAGTACAAAGGACGACAACCAAACCAAATCAAGAATGAGTTCTAGCTGATCTTCCTGTACTTACCAGCTGTGTAACCCTTGGCAAGTCACTTCACCACTGTTTGCCTCAGTTTCCTCAACCATAAAACAGGGCTAATAATAGCACCTACTCCACAGGGTTGTTGTGAGGATCAAATGAGATACTGTCAGTAAAGCACGGAATACAGCGGTGGCTCTAGGTCCTCAAGTGCGGCCCTTTGACTGAATCCAAACTTCACAGAACAAATCCCCTTAACAAAAGGATGTGTTCTGGAAAACTTGGACTCGGTCAAAAGGCTACACCCAAGGACCTAGCAGGCCACATGTGGCCTTGAGGCAGCTGCAGGTTCCCCACCCCTGACTTAATATGCCTGGCATATAATGGGTGCTATATAAATGTGTGTTCCTTACCCTTCTACCATCTACTCAGACACAAAACTGATTTTTCTAAAATGCAGGTCTGACTATGTCACTCCCTGACTCCAAACTCCAATGGCTCCCTATCACCTCCAGGATCAAATACAAAATGCTATTTGTCATTCAGAGGCCAGCATAACCCAACCCCTTCCTACTTTTCTAGTCTCCTTATACCTCCTCTTGTATGCTACAATCTAGTGACAACAACCTCCTTGCTGCTCCTTTCATAAGAGACTCCACAGGAGATCTCCTGAATCTGGGCATTTTCCGCTGGCCTTCCCCCCTGCCTGGAATTCTTTCCGACCCCTTCTCCGCCTCCTGACTTCTCTGGCTTCCTTCAAGTCCCAGCTAAAATCCCAGCTTCTTTGAGAAGTCTTTCCAGATTCTCTTTAAATGCCAGTGCCTTCGCTGTGTTGGTGATCTCCCATTTATCCTGTAAAAATATTTGTTGTTTACATGTTGTCTCTCCCATTAGACTGTAAGCTTCTTGAGGGCAGACAATTTTTTTTTGCCTGTTTTTGTATTCCCATTACTTAGCAAGTACCTGGCACATATTGCAGATGCTTAGACTCATCTCCCTGAGTTCAAATCTGGCCTCAGACACTTACTAGCTGTGTGACCCTGGGCAAGTCACTTCACCCTGTTTGCCTCAGGTTCCTCATCTGTAAATTGAGCTGGAGAAGGAAATGGCAAACTACTGCAGTATCCCTGTTAAGACCCCAAAATGGGGTCACAAAGAGTCAGACATGACTGAAATGACCAATGAACAACTTGACTATGAGAATAATCTAAAAAAGTAGAGATAGAAGGAAGCAGAGGTAGTCTTCTCCCATAATTCCCTACTTAATTCAGTCCACCATCAATAAATCAGCCATAGTTTTAACATGTATCAGGCACCAGGGAGAGAAAGACCACATGCCTCAAAGAACTTGCTCTTCTGAAATCTGTAAGTTCACCTGAAAGATGACCACACAATTGCCCTCAGAACACTTCCAGTGAAGGGATCTTGGGAGGTACTGAAGGCCATTTTCAATTAGCTTTCATTTTTACGACAGTCTTCTTTATATTATCCTCAAATCTGCCCCTCCTGAACTTTCACCCACTGGCCTAGTTCTGCACAAGCTGATCTTCACTGGTTGCTAGAGATGGAATGAATGCTTTGATGAAGCGTTTAGTATGTGCCAAGCACTGTGATAAGCATAAAAACAAAAAGCAAGCCAGTTCCCGGCCTCAAGGAGCTCATATTCAAATAGAAAGCAACACACAGAGATAAATATTCAACTGTTCTTTTTGTAACACTGTTTCCAAGTCATTTGAAACATACTGGTCACCCTCCATTAACTAAAGCCACTCCCACTTATCCATGATTCTCCTAAAAGGTTGTGTCCAAAAGCCAACATTTTATTGCATATGTGATCTGATCAGACTGTCTGCTGCCTCCCTTCCCGTGTATACTCAACTTCTCTGAACACAGCCTAATGTCACATGAGTGTTTCGGACTGCCGTAAATACTGTTCACTCAGTAATACTGAGTCTTTTATCACATGAACCCCCAATTGGCCCCAATTCTATACAGTACTAAGAATTCAAATAACTTAACATTTACTTCTATCTAAGTGCAGCCTGTCCAATTCAGCCTGGTGTTCTAGTTTGCTGAGACGTTCTGGATCCTCAAGCTGTCCTCTAACATACTGGCTATTACTTCCAATTGGGGTGGTGCCCACACCTTTGATCACCAAGCTCCCAGGACAGAACACTGGTGACTTACTTTCCTTCCAGAGGACATCAATCTATTAGTCATCTTTTGTTTTTGGATGACTCAGGATAGGTCCTTGGTAGCTTAGGGTCAATACTGGAACAAAATGATCCAACAGTTATAACAAGAAATTTACTTCTAGCCAGAGAACAACATTCAAAAAGAACAGAAGCACTAAAGACCCCTTGAGTTGATTCAGCTGAGAAGCTTGGGAATTCTTGCCTAAATGACCCATTGTGATCCACCAGCCAAGCATCATAGCACCTGGAGCTCCTCCTGACTGCTTTGTACACAAGTGATGAGCAAGTGATCCA